CACACACACACACACACACACACACACACACACACACACACACACACCTTGTTAATTCCAGCTTTTATTTATATTTTAAACTCTAGCATTAAAATGTGAGAAAGAAAGTAGACCAAAGGCTCCCTTGAAGCTGCTAGATTAGTAATAGCATCCACACTCAACAGATAGAGAGAAAGTAAGTGTCAGATACAGAATAAAAACCCAGGGGTTTCTGGCTCCCAGCCCCATGTTCAGATCACACCTCTAGTTGAAACACATTCAGAGTGGCAATCACCCTGAGCGACTTATCATGGGGAGGAGAGACCTCCTTAGGTTGCTACATTTCCAGTCTTGAGGCCACAGAGTTGTCACCTTATTTAATAACAAATAAAACCCAGACCCATTGTTCAAGGTGGAAAGTCAGTCAAAAGAGAGGTAGAACAGCAGCTATTTGAACAATAACTCATATAAACCTTCTGGCACTGTTGGCTTCCATGGAAATTCTGGCTACATTAATTTAGTAGCTTCCAAAAATAGTCCCAAGTCTCAATCAAACATATACAAGGAGTGTCTTGACTTTCATTCCTATAAAAGTATCTATCTTAATTAGAAAAAAAAGTAATTGGTTTCTTAGCTGTAACTGACTTTCATGAAGATGGAGCATAGGGGGCAAAAACAAACAAACACACACCAAAACCACATACAAGCCAGTAAAAAGCCTTTTATAGGGTGAGAAACCGCCCGTGCTACCGTGCCTGGGGCTCACTACTAAAAATAGATGCTAAAAAGTTAGCAGAAATAAAAGTTTGGCATGATACATATTTCAACATTAAGCACTCTGCTGGTGTATGGAAGGAAAGCTCCCCCTACACTGCTCCCAGCCTCAAAAACACACTGGGCGTGATTTGTCTTTCACTTAGCCTGGTGTAAATCAGGACTCACTCCACTAGGGTCTATAAAGGTAGCCAGTTGTAAGTGAAGCTAAGTCAGGCCGACTACACTCTGTGTTCCAACATGACTGAAGATTAAGAGCAGTACTCACGGGCTGAATAAGGTCTTTAGTTTTAAAAGGAATGCCTCCTACTGTTAAGTTCAGCTGATACAGTCCTTTGTCCAAAGTAAACAGATCTCCTGCAACAGCTATTTTCATAACTGCATCCTTGTTGACCTTTATAAACAAACTTCTCTCCAGTTCTTCAACAGAGATCTAAAGAAATAAAATTGTAAATAAGAATATTCAGAGATAGAGAGGTTTAGTATCTGCAAAGTCACAAAGTACAGCCACAATTAATGAAATCCTCAAGCTAAGAAAATATTTATTGTGCCGAGCCCACTTCATTAACTTTTTACAATTTTATGTTGTCTTTTGATTTAAAAAAACAACAAAACACTTGATAACTTGTGCTATCATAACCCACCTGTTTTATAACAAATAGAAGAAAACCCACATTTGTTTCAAGTTGAAATCAACATTGCAAAAGGCAGAGAACGCAGTCTATAATATGAGTGGATTAATCATTTAATGTTTATACAGTGTTTTGGAGATGTAACTAACTGCAATAACAAGTTATTTATTATCCTCCTCCTATTACAGTCATATATGAAAAGAAAAGCTGAAAGGACAGATAAGAGAGGGTTTCTTATTGGACCTGTAATTAATGAATAACACAGACGCTTTCAGGACAGAAATGGGCCCCATCTTGGAGCAGTGACAGCTTAATAAAGAACAAAAGAAGAAAGGTTTCATATCTGAGAGAGTATTTAAAGAATTGTATATTTATACAGTGCTTTTCATTCCAAAGGGATACCAAGGAGCTTTACAAACTATGGCTCCGATCCTCCAGTGATATATCTCCAGGCAGATCCCTGTGTCCATGCAAAACCCAACTGACTTCAGTAGGATGCCAGGTTGGCACAAGGATTTGCCTGCATGCGTCTCACTGCAGAATCAGGGCCCACATACATAAAGTACCATTGAAATGCAGCCACCTCCAGGGAGAAAGGGAGGCAGTCAAGCACAAAACTGACATGCAACACACACAACAAAAATGGGAGTTGGGGAAAACTGTGGCCAAGGAAACTAGTGCAAATGCTATTCCTTTGAGAAGTGGCATGGGATTTTTAACATCTACTCAGAACAGAAAGGACCTCAGTTATCTCACTTTAAATTCTCATCTAGATGTCTCTCTGACACATCCATACGCACACACCCCTCTTTCAGAAGGTTGAAGGGCTGAGTTGATCCTATTGGGATTTGAACCTGTGGTTCTGAAAAATACAGGTGTGTCAAACTTAATGCTTAAGGGTACAATTTTCAGAATTGCCTAAGGGCTAGATTCACAAAGAAATGTAGGTGCCCAACTGCCATTTTAGGAGCCTAAGACCCAACATTTAAGCACCAGTTAGATCCTCAAAACTCCTGCTGACCTGCCACCTAATCCTGGAGGTACCTAAATTCCCTAGGTGCCCAAGATTCTCCCTGTAAAGTCGCCATGGTGCCTAAGTTCCCACTGCTGGCATGCACAAAACTGCCTAAGCCGTGACGCTGTTGAGCTGCTCAACACCCTCACTCATACTAAGCCCTGATTGGATTGTCAAACTCAGGATTCCCTGCCTATCTCTGTAACAGGCGCTGATCCAGTAGGAGTTCTCAGACTATGCTTACTGGATTGGGCCTGGCAGAAGACAGCCGGGGCAACCATGTCAGGAATTTTGGGGGCAGGAGATTGTGTCAGAATACCCAGAAGGCCAGTGGTTAGGCCAATCATCTAGGATGTGGGTGACCCATTTTCAAATTCCTACCTGATTTGGAGCAAGGGACTTGAACCCAGGTTGAGTACCCTAATCATCACTATTGTTTGTAAAATGGTAGTATCTACAAGCCTCAGTCACAGACCACACCACCACTGTGCTAGGCACTGTACAAACACAGAACCGAAAGATGGTCCCTGCCCCAGACAGGAGACAACAGATGGAAACAGAGAGATGGGGGCAGTACAAGGAAACAATGAGATAATGTTGATTGGCATGATAGGTTGCGGTATCAGCAGTGCACATGAGCATGATATTAATTATTCATCGATTCCAAGGCCAGAATGGACCATCCTGATCATCTAGGCTGACCTCCTGTATAGCACAGGCCCTAAAACTTCCCCAAAATAATTCCTAGAGCAGATCTAGGACATCCAATCTGATTTAAAAATGATCGGTGATGGAGCATCCACCACGAACCTTGGTAAATTGTTCCAATGGTTAATTACTCTCACCATTAAAAAATGTATGCCTTATTTTAAGTCTGAATTTGCCTAGCTTCAGCTTCTTAAAACTTTCCTTTCCTGTGATGCTTTGCTCGTCAAGCTTTCTGTAGACATCAGAGCAGAGGAGAGTTTTAAGGAGGTAAGTTTTAAGGTGAGGGGGTATTTTGGCGCACTAAATATTTAATTATTTATACAGAGTGGAACAGCTCCAAAAGGAGAGATTGAAAGAACTCCACCCAGAAACCCAATCGCCCTGTTATTCAGACACTCTCTTGGGATATGAGAGACCCAAATTCAAGTCCCTGCTTCAAATCAGGCAGAGCAAGAATCTGAAAACAGGTCTCCCACATCCCAGGTGAGTGCTGTAACCACTGTGCTATTGGCCATAATGGTGGTGGGGAGCAGGGGCTAAATCTCATTTTCAAAAGTGATTCAGGCACTTAGGAACCTAAATCCCATTAGAGGTTGGCTCCTAAGTGCCTAAATCACTTCTGCAACTGGCATTTAGGCCTCTAAGTCACATAGGGTCAGATCTTCCAAGGTGTTTAGACAGCTAACTCCCATTGAAGTCAGTGGAAGTTAGGTGCCTAAATACCTTTGAGGAATAGTGCCTTAGGTACTTTTGAAAGTTTACTGATTGGACCCTTATTCCATTCCACCTTTAGCGGGAATTCCAGGAGCACTTGTGGAATGAGGGGTTAAAGACTTGATGCCAGACTTGTGGAGAGTAAGACAGCCTCCAGTGCTAGTGTGGACATGCAGGGCCTCCATAATGATGGCCTTAATCCAGCCATTTCCTAGACTGAGACCTGGCCGATCTTGGGGGCAGGGAAGCTTCTTTGGCAGTGGAGTGATAAACCCAGACCCAGGGTAGAATACAGAGGGGGAATGCCATGGAGTCCTCACACAGACTTTTCCATGTAGTGGCAAGATCTAAAGCCTAAGCAGTTTCCAACTGTCAGTTGCTGGCATTCCTGTTTTCCATGTTTCTCCCTCCTGTTGGGTATCTATGTTCTGGATTGCTATTATACATCTGTGGAAAAAACAACTTGCATTGCACCTCAATTTGTTATTTTCCCCCCATATTTCTAGTAGCTCCAGGTTCCTTGGCATTCACGTTCATCACTGGTTATTACAAATCTACCAGTTTAGTATTATTTGCAAATTTCATTTCAGATGCTGTTTGCCCCCACTTCCAGGTCTGTAACAGAGATATTAGTAATACCAGACACCACAGTGATCCCTGCAGTGCCCCACTACACCCCTTTGCACCGCTTAATATATTAACTTTTATTCACTATTCTCTGGTCCTGCAGATTTGATTTGCTGAGTAGGAGTTTGTGATATTTTACCAAATGTATAACTAAAATCCAAACGCATTACACAACAACTAGTGCATGCTCTTCGATCACTAATCTGTCTATCTCTATATTAAAAAGAGAGCAATAAGATTTGCCTACCCAACTTGTTCTTTACACAGGTAAACGCCAATTACTGAAGGAGATATTCAAAACCTTCACATGACTGGAGTTTCACATCAATGAATTGGGGGTACTTTTATGAACTTTAGATTCAAATTTTCAATGATAAATCTGGTGATTAGGGTGCCAGCCCAGAATTCTGGAGAAATGGGTTCAATTCTTCGCCACAGACTTCCTGTTGGACCATGAGCAGGTCAGTCCCTTAGGCCCATCTTGCCTCAGTTCCCAATCTGTAAAACGGGGCTAACAGTATTCCCCTATTCTCACAGGGGTGTTGTGAGAGTAAACACTTTAAAAATTGTGTGGTATTCAGATACTAAAGTAATAGGGCTACATAAGTACCTTAGAAAAAGTTAACCTGTTCATGGTTCAGTTATGCATTAAATAATTAGGACCTTATTGTACCATCAATTTTTAACCTGTAGTTCCTATTGAAATCAGTGAAGAAATCTGCCTAATACTTGGAGGCACAATATGTCCCTTAGCAATTTTTTCTCTTAGATATTTGAGCATTTCACTAGGAATTGAGGTTGGATCTTCCAGATGAATCGTTTCAGGATAATCTCACTATCCTTTTTATTTTTTTAAAATGGTGGCATATATGCTTTTTTTCAAACCCTCCGGTATTTCCCTTAGTTTTTTATGACTTTTCAATATCAATTGTCAGCGGTTTGGTACATCTATTGGCTAATCCCTTTAACACATCCTAGGATGTATGTCACCCAGGACCACTGATTTGTACACATTCAAACTGGCTAATATCTACTTTACAAAGTCATTGTAAACATTTACCTAACAGCCCCACCCGCCATGGCCACGGAGGATCCTATTTGCAGTAGAACCATAGTAACTCTCTGGGTAGGGCAGGGCCATGCATAGGTGCTGAAACTGGGAGTGCGGGAGGTGCTGCCGCATCCCCTGTCTTGAAGGGATTTCCATTATGTCCAGGATTTACAGTTTGGTTCAATAGGTCTCAGCACCCCCACTATACAAATTGTTCCAGCATTCCTGGGTGATGGGCATCCTAGTAACAAAAGTTACCGTAGGCTCACGGTCTGTGGCCACTACTGAGACCTGGGCCTACAGTGCCCTATTGTATGTGTCAGGAGTACGGTTGTCTCAGTCTGTTTCCCAAAGGACTAGTGTACCATATGCACAAAAAAAGTCACCACAGTATTTAGCACCAGTTAGCACCCTTGCTGGCAGTACAGACACTCCCCGACTTACACAAGCGTTCCATTCCGGAATGCCTTACATTACTCGAATTTTGCGTAAGTCGGGAACGTATACCCAGCCATTACGCAAAAGACCCAATCAACCAACCAAACAAAAAACTTTCTATCTTATGGAACTTTTTCTGTAAGTGCAGATTTGTGTAAGTCGGGTTTGCATAACCCGGGAACGTCTGTAACCTCATTGAGAGCCTAGGAAAGGAGGCTGAACTATCCTCTCACCCATAGATATCGCCTCTCCATGAGAGGATTGAATGGCACTAAGGAAAAATTGCTATACCCATGCCTATGTTGTGCTTCCTCTAAGGATAGAGAACTGCAAGCTCCAGGGCTGTCAATACAGGATCTTTTATAAGTAGTAAACTCTCATTAAAAGAATTTTTTTAAATGTTTAAAAAACCAAACAAACAAACAAACAAACAAACAAACAAACAAACAAACAAACAA